GGATAATAAAAAGCTAAATTAGATGGTCATACAAACACTGTCTACTCAGTCTGTTTCTCTCCTGATGGAAATACATTAGCATCATGTAGTGATGATATGGAAATTCGTCTATGGGAAATAAAGAGAGAATAAGAAATGAATTCCTGTGATAAAATTTACAATAATATGTTCATAAATATTAGGACTGCACTACAATAAATTACCCCTTATTCAGAAGGTAGTATGATTTTTTCTATATTTTTAGTCTCTAATTATATAACTACAGTCCTTATATCCTAAAAGTCAATATTTTAATCTAAAGGAGCTTTAATACTGAATGGAGAGTTTATAAATCAGTCAGGCATTGATTTAAAAACATTATTTCAAAAAAAAGGAAGTTATTTTTTGGAAAGCTTATCTAAAAATTTAATTTGATAGATATCAACATAAATACAACAAAAATTTTTTATATTTTTTAACTAAGTCTTTATCAGTTCCGCTCTTCATCTTCATTACATAAGATAGATAATAAGCATTTATTTTTCAAAAGTTTTCCTATCATTTTAAAAAAATGTACACATCTTTTACTTTAATATTATCACAATCTCTAGTCAGTCTAGTGTAGGGAATAATTATTGAGATGTCATAAAAACTGAAATCAATTAATATTTAAATCAATTAAATTTAAATGAAACTACATTATTTAAATACTCAACAGATATTTTAACGGACAACACTGAGCACAAAGAAGAAGCTAAAAAAGGTGTGAAATAATTATTAAAAGAAAATTAAAAGTAAATTACCTCAACATCATTCTTTTTTAAATCATCTAGGATATTATGATAGGTTTACTTAATGTAAATGATGGTTAATAATAATTGCTTATTATTTTATATTTTAAATAATATTTAAATTTATGTATTAAAATATTTGTAATTAAAAATTACTCATAAATATAACAATATCCATTTTTATGATTTCAATTGACAGAGTAGATTTATAATTACAAGATCAAATTTTAATAATGCAGTTTAAATATAATTTTATAAAAAATATATTTCTAAGTCTGATACAAAGTGAAAGTGTAAAAATATTTGAATTCAATTAATATTAATGAATAAATATTTAAAAAAAAAGCCCTTTGATTATAGTTGTATATAATTTCATTAATTTCATATTAAAAAGTGATTCCAAAGATGTAAAAAGTCATTATCTTAACCTGTAATGAAAAAAATTATTATATTTCTCATCATTTTATCTTTAAAGGTGTATTTTGTCGATTAATTTAATATTTTTATCTTATGGTTCGATGCTTTATTGTAATCTTTATATTTTGATATCTCATTTAGAATTTTTAAATGTGATAAGAAGAGTTCATTTTAAAATTGATGAATGAATATATATATAATATAAACTTTATCCAGCATTTTATAATTGAATATATTTATATATTTTCATTATTGTTTCTTTAGCATACCTAAAGCACTAAGCCTTTTTGTTTGTGCCTCCCTATCTTGGGGATTGTTTTTTAAAGCATTATCATAGCACTTAATCGCTTCCTAAAAACGATATAAATTTTATAATGAATTGCCTAAATTAAAAATGAAAAAATATTACCTTTTTTATTAAGCACATCACAATCTTATGGATTTATATTTAAAGCACTATCATGGCACTTAATGGCTTCTTCAAAACGATTTAATTTATATAATGCAACTCTTAAATTACGTATAAAAAAAATCGGTTACCTTTGTTATTGAATGCTAAACAATTATTAGGATTGATATTTAAAGCTTAATCGTGGCACTTAATATCTTCTTCAAAACGATTCAATTAATATAATGCATTGCCTAAAATAAAAAAAATAAAAAATTCAAATACCTTTGTTATTGAATGCTAAACAATTGTTAGGATTGATTTTTATAGCATTATCAAAGCACTAAAGGGCTTTCTCATAATTAATTTAATTTAGTAATGAATTGCCTTGATTAATATTATAAATAAATTGATTCATCCTTTAGGAGATAATTTTCTGCTCTAATCCATCTATTTAGGCTTTTTATTATCCAGTTTTAACATCCCATAGACGTATAGACTTATCACTACTACCAGAAGCTAATGTATTTCCTTCACGAGAGAAACAGACTGATAAGACTCTACTAGTATGACCATCTAATTTGGATTTTTATTATCCTGTTTTTACACTCCAAAGACGGATAGACTAATCCTAACTACCAGAAGCTAATGTATTTCCATCAGGAGAGAAACAGAACGAGTTGACAAAATTAGTATGACCAATCAATATGGCCATCTTTTTTCTTGTTTTAACATCCCATAATCGGATAAAGTTATCAAGACTACTAGATGCTAATTTAATTCCATCGGGAGAAAAACAGACTGACCAAACTTAATTACTATGACCATCTAATTTGGCTTTTTATTATCCTGTTTTAATATCCCATAGACGAATAGAGTTATCATAACTACCAGATGCTAATGTATTTCTATCAAGAGAGAAACAGACTGATCTTACAAAACCCCCATGACCTTTTAATTAGTTTAATTCATGGATTCTTAAGTTGTTCCATTTACAATTCAATAATAATGCTCCATTCAAATTCATTCCACTAATGTTAACATTATTAAATTCAGATCCACTTAAATTGCATCTAAAAAAATTAGCCCCTACTAGAGAAGTATTTTACATCTTAATATTTTCAAAATTTTTATTTGTCATATCAACCTTCATTTACACTAAGATATGTAATGAATTAGAACCACATTAAATTAAAGTGTTATCTAAGGATGTGAGCTGAACTAAAAAATACAAAAATTCGATGATCTTTTTATTATACCGAATTCTTTTAATCAGATCTTTTATAGATTCTTAATTTTCTTCATTTGAATAATCTTTCTTATTAAATTTATGATCTTTTATTTTTTTTAGGGCATCCGTAATTTGTTATATATTCTTTCTAAAATCATACAATTTCATTTCATTATAAGCTTGTTTTAAATTCTCTCTTTGTTGTAAGATTTATTCTTCTAAATGTTTTTGAATTCCATTATCCAAAAGATATCTAATGTAGTCATAAACTTTTTCCTTTCGAATTATTTCCAATAAGACACCAAATAGTTGTTCATCTACATCTTTAACTTAAGTAATGATGTCAGCTAGAGCTTCCTAATCTTAAAAAGTTTGATCCATTATCTTTTATTTATAATATTGAATTTCTATTACTCTAACTTTAGGTTATATACTGCAAAATTGATAAAAGTTTTTCATATTTTAGTAATGTAGATTTGAAAATGATCATAATAGATGTAAAATATGCTATTGAGATATGATTTAAACATTTGTATTGGTTGATTCTTAAATAATATAGAAAATATTAATTTTTATATGAATATCGTAATTTATACATAATTTGAGTTCGATGATTGATCGATTCATTCTCCTTGTATATCAACTCTTTTTAAGTATATGTTAACATTTTAAAGATTAGAATATGCCTTAAACCAAATCTTGTTGACTCCTTAAAATATGTAAAATGTATGATTTTAAAACTTGGATAGGTGAAATCATGAGTAAAAGAGTTTTGTGTTAAAAAGAGAAGATCTTTACTAATTAGTATAGTAAATCTGAATAGTAAGGCTTATAAAGTTAAAACTATTTTCTAAGCTCTGAATTTTAGGGCTCATATTGAGCCATCGGACTGATCTTGATGTTTTAGAAGATAATTAGAGGACAGCTATAAGGATTTTATGCATAAAAGTGGTCTATAATGACCCTCCAAGATCTTCAAGGATGCTTAAAATTGCTTGATGGAAAGCAAGTAAGATGGTCATAAGAATTAGATAATGTTAGTTTTCTGATAGTAATATATTTGCTTCTGATAGTAGATAAGTCTATACGTCTATGGGAAGTCAAAACAGGATAATAAAAATAAAAGTTAGATGGTGATAGATATTATGGTTGATCACTCTGCTTCTCTCCTGATGGAAATACATTAGCATCTGGTAGTAATGATAACTCTCTTCGTCTATGGGATATCAAGACAGGATAATAAAAAGCCAAATTAGATGGTCATATTAGTACTATCACGTCAGTCTGTTTCTCTCCTGATGGAAACACTTTAGCTTCTGGTAGGAATGATAACTCTATTCTATTATGGGATGATAAGAAAGGAAAAGAAATTTTTCCTGCTGACAAACTTTATTAAGATCTTTTTGTCAAACTTAAAGCACCACTATATTAAAACAATCCTCTACAATATATTTTTTATTATTATTTTTTAGTATCCAGCAATATTACAATTCTACAAATATCTCAAACAAAATTATTTTAATTATAAGGAACGTTAATCTTTAAAGGAGATTATGTAAATTTTGAGGGAGACGATTTGAAATCATTGTTTAAATCAAAAGGAAGTTGCTTTTTTAGATGATTTAAAGTAAAAGTGAATTTGAATATTATTATCAATAAAATACAATTATAATTACAATCAATTTCTAAAACTATTTTTAATTATGTCTTTATAAATTCAACTCTTCATTATAATTTCTTAAGGTAGATAATAATTATATATT